TGGGGCTAAAGAGTTTTTGCCCCCCTTCTCGAATGGTATGGTTGTTGTGTGTTTTTAAATTTTGTATTATTATGTCTCGTCTTTTTTATCCCCCTGTTTGTATCTCCTTCCCTGATTGAATTGTGAGCCTCCCTGAGTCCCCTTCGGGGAAAAGGGCGGCATATAAATGTAATCAATCAATCAATCAATCAATCAATAATAGAATTGATGTTTAAACCAATGCAACCATTTCATGAAATCATCATTTCATTGAGATCTCCAGCCTACTGACCCAGCCAGTTATGCTTTAAGAGATTTCTTCAAAGATGTCAAGAATGGGACCCATCTCGTCTCAGTGGGGATGATGTTCCAGAGGGCGGATATCATGGCCCTCTGGGCCATGTCTTGTCAGATGAAACTCTTTCATAGATTTGCAGCATATTTCCTGATGCAATGGACAGATAATTGCATGGAGTTGGTCCTTCAAACCCAGCCCCATGCCATAGAGGACTTTAAAGATCAAAACCTGCACCTTGAATGGGATCCAGAAGTAAACTGGCAATCAGTGCAACTCACAGAGCAGAGATGCAATGTGTACTGTTCTTGGGCAACACATTATCCCATTAGCTACACCTTTGCATTTTGCACCCTGCCTGACCTTCCAGATACTCGTCAAGGGCAATCACATGTAAAGCATATTAAAGTAGTCCATTTGAGAGGTGACCAGGACATCAGTGAGCCAGTCTCCCAATCCAGATATGGGCACCACAGGTACATAAACACAAAGATGTGCAAAAACCGTCCTAGTTATGATTGCCACCTGCTCTTTGAGCAGGGGTCACAAATCTAGAAAGAGTTGTGCACTAAATCTGTTTGGGACACTGCAACCCAAGTACTAATAATAGCATAGTATCTGAGCCAGAGGGCCCCAAAACCCAGAGTCACTTAATCCTATCAGAATTCAGTTGAAGATTGGTGTTCCCCATTTAGGCTCCCATAGCCCCTAGTTACTAGGATAAGATATCGACTGCATTGGTCAAGTCATCAGGAGCTGAAAAGTATAATTGGGCATCCTTACCATTTTGAAGATACCACATTCCATGGGACACAAGTTGTCACCCAGTGGCTTCATGTTGATGTTGAATAAGAAGAGAAAGTATCAAGATAGGGGCTGATCTCTTCTATCCAATTACCACCAACTATCCACAAAGATACCATATTGTTGCCAGGGCAAATAGAGCAAGGATGTTTTCACAACCTCCATCCTGCTACCACCAGAGATCATCCAAAAGCACAACCAATGCCATTGCCATCTTCTACCGAGGCATCAATCTTGATCGAAAAAAGTGGGGAGGTTTTCCAGTATGATGTGATCCAGTAGTGGCTTCTTAGGGAAGGGTCAGACCCTCTTATTCAAGGAATAATTAATTGACATCAAGAGCTCTCCCACAAGGTAGCAATACTACTTCGACTTATATACCGCTTCACAGTACTTTACAGCCCTCTCTAAGCGGTTTACAGAGTTAGCATGTTTCCCCCAATAATCTGGATCCTCATTTTACTGACTTCAGAAGGATGGAAAGCTGAGTCAACTTTGAATTCAGTAAGAATCTAATTGCTGGCGATTGGGAGAATTAGCTTGCAATACTGCATTCTAACCACTGCGCCAGTTTTAGTTAGATAGGAGCGCCATGGATCTAGAGAATAGATGGCTGAGTTCACAATCATAAGGATCCTTTAAATATTGAAAAAGAAAATTATGGGTCTACTCAGCTAGCACTAGTCAGAAGTCTACAATTGTTTTCTTTTTCGAGGCAAATAAATACAGAAGATTCTCAATAAAGCTAGAAAATGCTGAAGACAAATATTTTATTGCAGGACCAGACTACAGTACGAACTGTAGCATCAGCTACAACAACAAATGAAATTCGTAGGCAGTCGAGTAGTTATGATGATCCTTGGAAAATAACAGATGAACAAAGGCAATATTATGTAAATCAGTTTAAAACTATTCAGCCTGATCTGAATGGATATATTCCAGGTAAGATTTTTAAACACATATGATACAATGAATAATTTTATAATTATCTAATATTAGACTTATTTTACAAAATGTGCATAACAGTAGTTCAAATTTCAGTAAAGAGATTCCTGGCATGTAGAAACTAAAGATGTTACTAAAAGAGTTCTTCATTTTCTTCTGCACCTTTAAGAAAACTGAGCCAGGGAATGAGATTGTGGGGAAAGAAATTTCCATGCAGCTTTTGGTATTAATTTCTGCTAGATCAAAGATCCTTTTCTTAATAGAGAGAATTATTTATTCATAAGAGAGCCTATTAAAAATATTGTGTAAGATCTTTTGTGAATTTCTTAGCTTTAATGTTTTGTAATGATTTCCTACATTTGCATTTTTGAACTCATGCTCCCAGCCCCCAGCCTAATGTATCTTTAAAAAGTCACTAGCTTTTGTGTCATAGATAAAGCTTAAAGCTAAATTTGCAAATAAGGTTATAATTCTAGTTTGAAAGTCAAACATTATTACTCTGGGTAAGATGGACAGCCAATACATTTTGCAAATAAATAAATTTAATATTTTTAGGTTCTGCAGCTAAAGAATTTTTCACAAAATCAAAGCTTCCTATTCTTGAACTTTCACACATCTGGTAAGTTAAAATATAATTATTTAAACTCATTGTTCTAAAATTCCAAATTATTTGATAAAAAACTGAAATGTCTAGCAACCAACACTACCATTTATATTGAAACCTTGTCTTAAAAACAAATGTAATTTAGAAGCTTAATCATATTTCCATTAAAATTGAGTAAGTTTCCATTTAATGTGTTCTCATATTAAATTTTGTTGTAATTACCAAGGAAACAAACATAAAACTTCATATTTATATCCAAATTACAGTCTCATTTAGTGACAATAACTGGGACTGACCATTTCATTGTTAAGCAAAGCGATTGCTAAGTGAAAGTTACAATGGCACTGAAAAAAGTGACTTATTACTATTTTTCACAGATGCTTGGCAAGTGGTTCATATTTATGACAGTTGCGGTACCCTGGGATCATGTGTGGTCCCTTTTTGCGACCTTCTGACAAGTAAAGTCAATGGGGAAGCCAGAGTCACTTAACAAGGAGGTTATTGATTTAGCAACTGCACTGAGTCATTTAATAACTGGGGCAAGAAAGGTTGTAAATTGGGACAAAATTCCCTTAACAAATGTCTCAGTTAACAACAGAAATTTGGGGCTCAATTGTAAGTAAAGGACTACCTATACAAACTCCTTTTGCAAAGAAGCAATGAAAATATTTTTGACAGTTTGCCTTTCCTAATAATTCTCCTGCATCCCCTCAATGCGTAGAGGACATATAAGTACTCAGAACTCTTTGGAGAAATTCTTCAAGGTTTTTTTTTTTTAAAAAAAAATGGGAAAATTAGTTTTTTTAAAAAATTTGTTATTATTCTTCATCCAATAGGAGCATTCCATGAGTTCATGGATTCTCAGGATTCAATTAATTGTGTTTTAAATACAATATGCCAGATTACGAAAGTCTAATGTTTACCTTGAACAAATATCTGGTATTAGGAAGAAATTCTTCAAATTAATTATTGTCAATTTGAAAGACTTTAGGAAAATACAGAAAAGTGTTTGTTTGTTTGTTTAAAAAAAAAGTACAATAAAGTTAAATAATTTCATTTCAGGGAGCTGTCAGATTTTGATAAAGATGGTGCATTAACACTGGATGAGTTCTGTGCTGCTTTCCATCTAGTGGTTGCTAGGAAGAATGGTTATGACTTGCCGGAAAAGCTACCTGAAAGTTTAATGCCCAAGTTGATTGATTTGGAGGACTCAGCAGGTACTTGTTTCCCCTTCAAATTAGTAGCTAAAGGATGTGTAACACACACTGCATGTGCGTTGCAATTGTTTTATTTCATTCTCTTGTATGTGTCTGTATAAAATTGATTTTCTTTTTGAAACAGAAGTTTCTGTCCTTATGTATGTAAACTACGATAGTTTATAAAAAATGTAAGTTGATTCTACTTGCATTTACTCAAGTATTCTATTACAGAAGTTAAAATGTCTTTTATTCAACTTCCAATTAATTCTTATTGCTTCTATTGCTTTCTAAGGTTGCCCATTTGTCAATGATTCTAGGTGGCTAAAGTTTATATTTCCAGCTAGTCTCTTATTCTCTAACACGTAAATTATATGTGTGTTCAGTATCTAATATGTTGAATTCACATGACATGTTTGTCTTACTGTAAAAAGTCCTTTAAATTTTTGTTTTGTGGGAAACTATTATTCAGCTCCCTTCAAAATGTTTTTAGATTCTTGTAATGCTACATGTCTGCTTATTAGAAAAAATATATTTCACCTGTGTTACAATTTAATCACACAATTTAAAATATAAAAATAAAGAGAATGGTTGGTATTACTAACAAAGCAATGTGCCTGATACCCCAACCTAGCAACTCCTTTTTACAGCCAGGAAATAGCAAGGTATTTTAATGATATTTTAGAATGAACACACCTAAAGATTTTACTCTAATGCCATGAAGAAGCTAATCAAGCAGGCTTTTTTTCATTATAACGTAATATGTGGTCATGAGCTATCTTTTAATGAGAACTTATGTAAGAGGTTTCCCTAAGAGACTATTAATAAAACATAAATTTTGCACTTTCCCTATCTTTGCAAAACTTTTTGCAATCTCATAGAATTTTCTAGATCCTGGCCAGTAAAGTCCCCCTATGATTGTTCTCATGTTTGGTAGCCATCAAATATATGAAACTAGAAAGCTGTTAATTTTTTGTTGTTAAAGAAACTATTCTTTGTTCTTAACCTGTGGAATGTATAAAATTAAACTGTAAAAAGAAAAACTTTTGAAAAATATTATTTTTCAATATTAGGTTATTTTGCCTTATTCTGAAATTTCTACTATACTTATATGAAATATGTTGAATTCAAAACATGAAAAAGGTTTCCTTGTGCAATATAGCTTTCTGGTTACTTCTACCAGAGTGTCCAGCATTTTCAGGCTGGTGGACATATCTCTGATTTTGATGTAACCAATCATAAAGCACGTTTTTTACAGGAAGGCAAACTGATAAGGCTGAAAGAAAAAGAGGCTTCTCAAGAATTTAAGCACAGAGCTGACAAAAAAAAATTGCTACTTTATGGCAGGTAAATTGGTCATGCTAGGAAATATACAACAGGGGCAAAGCCTACACAATACATGTATCAAAATAAGTGAGGGGAATTAGCAGAAAAAAATAATTAAAATTTCATATATAGTATGGAGAATAATCAAAACATTCTTTCTAGCTCAAATATACTTACTACTAGTTTCTCTTGTCTCTTTTCCTAGACCGGGTGTCAAATTTGTGTCGTCACATGACGTACCGTGACTTTTTTCCCCTTCACTAAACCGGGGGTGGGCGTGGCTAGTACATGACGCATCCAGTCCGCGAGTTTGATACCCCTGTCCTAAACTATATAGTATAGTTCAAAATAAAACAATGGGCTACTTAACTATTATTTTATTTTTAAAAATATTTTATTTCCATAGGGCCTAGAGTCATTAATGGGAATAGAATCTATGTAGTCGGTGATACTTTGGTTTGCAATGAAATTGAAAGACTTTTTTAATGTAGTGGGACTGAGAGCTGGATTAATGACAGAACTGTCTACGAGCCCTGTGACTTCCCAAATATCCCATGGGGAATCGTTCTGCAAAATTTCTAATGGAGCTAAATGTACTACAACATGCTGGAGAAATAAAGTAAATATAGTACAGATCTCTGTATAATGAGTATCTCTGAAATGAGTTGATCAATGTTCATAAATAACATATGTTATAAGCATGCTTCTATGCATTAATTATAAAATTGCAACAAACTATTAACACACAGTTTTAAAGACATTGCTACAATGTTGTGTTTGGCTTTTGTAGTGGTTCCTGTTTCAGAAGTGGGGGATCAATCTGCTGAGGTAGGTTTTGCAAGTTCCCCAGCAGAAGTACCGCCAAGCAAATCGCCATCAATGCCATCACTTAATCAAACGTGGCCTGAACTGAATCAAAGCAGCGAGGTTAGCAAAATATACCTTATTTTCTTAGAAGTTCCTACTTTGAGAATGAATGTATAACACAATATAGATTGGATTACGTTCTAAATTTGAGGTTAGTTTTAGTGTTTCTGTATATAACCTTGATCCTTGTCATAATAATTGGAGAATATATTGGGATTGTACACAAAAGCTCACTTTTTCTTTTTCTTTTCCTGTTCTTTAAAAAAAAAGTTTTTCTATCCATCTCTGATTTCTGTTCTAAATCCTGCATAGGTCCTTTGCTAATTTCTTGAGGGTGATTTCAATTCTCTATAAGGTAGAAAATATTAGAGAGCTTCCTTTTGGAGTGATTCAGTTCATTTTTTGCTGTTATATGAGAGTAAAAGATAAAGTCCCTCTTGAGGTGACTGGACTTCTAGTGACTGTCTATGTTTGCTTAGCAAAAGCATGGATGTAATTTGCCATAACTGGTTTTGGCTTCCCTTTTTTGATTTCCCTAATCTAAATCTCTAATCTAAAACCTTGGAAAGTTTCTGGTAGTTTCCATCCAAATGCTAGTCATGGTCCAGTCCTGTTTAGCTTTCTGGGATTATTTAAATTGACTAGGTTCTACTACCCTTCTGACCTAGATCAGAAAGCACATGCAAGTCTTTTTGCCTATATCTAGTACAATCAGGATTCCATTTAAATCAGTCTGGCCATTGCCTGGGAATTAGATTTCAATACATTTGAAAAATCTTTGTTTGGTGAATTTTCACTAAAATATGGCTTTTATAGTAATTTTATTAAAAATTACAACTGCAACAATAAAACTTAAAAATAGAAAAGAAAAAATAATATAGTAAGGAAAAGGGGGGGGAGGACTCTCCATCACAAGTATAAACAGTCTCTTCTCTTAAAATACAAATGATCTCTTCTTCCCATGTCTCACCTCTTATCTATAAACAAATCTCTAGAATCTCATCATTCAGTTCTGATTAGCAAAAGTCTATTAAGGGTTACCAGAGATAACAATATATCTATTTTAACTCAAATAAACCAACTTTTTATTCCTTCTTTTTACTTTTAACAGTGCTGATCTTTAATCCCTTTAAATTTGATTTCTTTTGTTTTTTTCTGTCATTTCTCCCAAAATTCTTTAAAACTTTAATAAGCCTCTTTTGTAATAAGGTTATCCAGGTCACTCTTTTGGTTTGATATTTGAATGTTCCTTTTAATTATTAAGACATCCACTGGATATCTTTTTGTATCATCTTTTCCCATATCATTCTTGTAGCCTACCTTTTTTAAGTCCACTTTCAGATCAGACTTAGTCTTGTCAGGTAAAAGTTGTTCTTCTTCCATAACACTTTTTAAATAGAGACCAGACCTTGTTGAAATTAATTTCTGTGTCCACTGTTAAAAATCCTAATCTAACCCTAACCTTTAGTCAAGTGTGTCACATCTTAAAATACTTGGCTTCATTCTCTATTGGTAAATCAAGTGTTCTTTCCCTTTAATTGTAATCTTTAGTTCCTTCTAGTGTCCAACCTTTAAAGTCCCATTTATCATGTTTGTTTGTTTGTTTTTTAAAAAGAATTAAGCATTTCCTCATGGGAAGGATTCTTATAATTAATTTCAAAATTATATTTCAAATCTGGACTCTTTATCTATTTATAACATTCCAAAATCAAAATTCTATTCACCCTTTTGCTGTTTATTTTTTTAAAAAGTTCTTAAAAGGTCTATTTAAAACTTGAAGGAAACTTATCTGTTGCTGTAAATTAAACTGTCAATCCAAAGTTTCCTAGTAGCTGAAAAGCTATTAAATAATTTTTGAAAGTGATTGGAAAAGAAGTATGCAATGTCTTTCAAAGGTGCCAAACGAATCTTGAGCAAGCTAGCTATCCCCTCATCTCCCAGCACTCTAAACCCATTGGAGACGTCAGTCTGGCATTCCTTCTCCAAAAAAAAATTATGAAGATCTAGTCTATTTAACCAGCTCTTCATTTGACTGCAGTCATTAATCCCAGCTTTTAGTAAAGCTTTCTTCAGCTTATCATTTATTTCCTGGAAGTTTTATGTCTCAAATGAAATTTCTGAATTGAATTCAATGCTGAATTTTCTGAAATCCTTCTAGAAGCTGAAAGTATCTGAGTGAAACTGAGAAGGCAGAAATTATTTAAACCATTCAATAGTTTGAACAATGCTTATATTGCAAAATATATTAGTGTAGTGCTAAATATTTGCCTTTTCAAGAATTATTTGCCACTAACAATTGTCATTAATGTTTGTATATATGCTTCCATAGGCCATTTATATTAGAATTCAAAATTACAAGGATCTCCTAGTCCTGTGATGGCGAACCTATGGCACGCGTGCCCAAAGTGGCACTCAAAGCCATATCACCTGGCATGTGTGGCCTTGCCTGTTTGTCTTCCGGGTTTCTGGCATGCATGCACGCAAAATGATCAGCTATACTTCACATGGTCGGCAGTGCTAAAAACCAGTGTGCACATGCACGCCAGCCAGCTAATCCTGGGCACTTGGTGCCAAAAAGGTTCGCCATCATTGACTATCCTAGTCCAAGCAGTAGTCAATTTACAAGTTTCTGCAGTATCTCAAACTAATTAGTTTAAGTGCCAAATAGCAGTCACCACTATGAAAATTGATTAGATAGATAGATAGATAGATAGATAGATAGATAGATAGATAGATAGATAGATAGATAGATAGATAGATAGATAG